GCGTGCCTTAATGATAATTATTAAACGGTATGCGCACATTCTGCATGACAAATATTACCATTTTTTATTTTCTCAATACAAATAAGATAATGTTTAACAAGCTTTAAGAAGACTACATATTGCATTACGATCATATATTCTTTCTTGTGTGACTCATAAATCGACTGCTATTGCGAGTCTTAAGCCATTCTGCATATCTTCTGAACTGCGGTAGTGAAGTATTGTCATTTTGCCTTGGAAGCGAGTACTTTGCTGGCAAACTCACTCATTCTGCTGGCGTGCATTCTTTATTGTTTCCGAGTAGTAACAGCATCATATCCGCAAACGATGTTTGTGCGCAGTAAATAGTTTGGTTTTGACTGGACTCTATTCTAACAAACTCTTCAGAAGAGATCCATTTTAAACTATATTCTTTGTCTAATGAGGAGATTTGAATAAAGTCGTCAATTGCTTGATATCCTGCCATTGATTAGACGGACGCAAAACCGGACTATTTCATTTATGCGGAAGGCATGCTATATCTATCGGAGTAGTACAGATGTAACGAATATACTATATAAGTATTCACAAAGAGCATACTTGGTGTTCTATTAAAAACTTTTTAGCAACAAGTAGAGTCAAGGTTGCTTTTCTTAGATACATAGAAATGTATATCACAAGAAATCTGTGAGATGTTAAGTTCTAGTCGCGCGGGGTCGAGGTTACATTTACCATATTTGTAGGAAAAACAATGTAGGTGTGACTTGACAAAGGATTGCATGTCTAGACGTAAATAAATAAACTTCTAAACAATATAAAATTTAGACATTTCACGAAAAGACATGATACCAGCATATTGTTAAATTTTAAATACTTTGCGCTTTGGAAAGAATACAAATTTACATAGTGGCATTACAAAAAAAAAAACTCATGACGATAATGCTCTATTTTCGGTTACGTTATAAGTAATTCCGACTGTATCTAATTAAGGGCCTTTGAGTAGGTAGTGTATGTTCTTATAAGTTAAATTCCTTCAATAACCAGTTCTTGCAGAGTAGCTACTCTAATAAAATGTATTTGCAAACACATCTCCTTCGTTAATCTCACCAAAAAAATAGTATCATTGACATCTACAAAAACCGATAAAAAAGTATCGTGAGTAGTGAACTTCACATACTAGCTAGCGCTAGTATGACAAACGTTACACCGGGGTTACATGATGTGATGTTTGACAATCCGCTTGCATTCATCGTTACCATGTCTAACAATTCCTATAAAGAATGGTTGGAGACAAGCATTCAAAAAGGATCAATCTATTGTTGTCCAGAAAATGACATAGTAGTAGACTTGCCATATTGTATTGGCTTTGGAGGATATGGAGTGGTGTATAAGGCAACGATAAGGCAGGAAAACAGCATTTTCTCTGACATGACCGTTGCAGTGAAGATATTGCATCCCGCTAAACCTGAGGCTTGTGAAGATTTACACCATCAATTGGTCAAAGAGGTTGACATTTATCTTTTCATTATGCTTGCCGTGCATTCATACGTCGCATAAACAAACTGAGTGCCATTATATTAGCTAAGAAACCACAACGAAGCGAATAACCATCCCAATATTATTCGTTTTTTAGGTGTATATAAAGGTATGTTCAATTGATGATAATTCCTTGACTCAATTACCAAATAACAGTTTCTTATTTCAACGCATACAGACCGTTATGATAACTATAATATGATTTTTGAATTGGCTGACAATGGAAGTTTACGTGAACACCTAGAGAAACACTTCAAAGATTTAACTTGGAAAGACAAATATAAACTGGGCTTAGACATTGCCAATGGTCTAAAACATTTACATGAACTTGATATTATTCACAAAGATTTGGTAATTATCGCACATGTTGATTGTATCGTTTGAACTTACATTCATCTTTAAACTGACGGTGTCCGGTTATTTATCAAGTCATCGAGCAACATTCTTCTCAAATCAGGCGTTGCAAAGATAACTGATTTTGGGTTATCTAGTGTGTTGAAACAAGCAATGTCCAAATCACGTGGAGATGGTGCACCCGCATACAGAGATCCGGCATCTTTGAAGATTAACAGCTCATATCGACGTAAAAAGGAAGCCGACATATTTAGTCTTGGAGTAATACTATGGGAAATATCTAGTGGGAAAGTTCCATGCGAAGGCCGTACTGACGTTGTCGATATCATTTTGTATAGACTTAAAGGCGCTACCGCTCGTGACCCCCCATGTTCTGGAATGCCTAAAGATTACATTATTCTGTATTCAGAATGTTGGGATGAAGTCCCTAATAAACGGCCCTCTTGCGCATATGTTTATGAGAGGTTGAGGAAGTACTATGATCAAGTGAATGATTTATATAAATCGTTGGAGAGTGGACCAAACAATTCACCAAGACCTTGTGATTGGACTGCTGGCAGCCATTCGCTAGAGTATTCTCAATTGACAAATGTACAAGAGATGGCACTATTACACCACGGATGCACGCATGTAGCGGATTGGTTAGCACCTACAACAAATACATTGACGAAAGTAGTACTCAAGAGGATAGTTGATGGACAGTTGTTCGATTTTTATCAGGTGGGTTATTACGCGTGTAAAAATAATGTTATATTGTGTTATTGATTATAAATGCGCATTGCGTGTGATTATTCTAACGATTGTCGTTGTTTATTAAACAGCTGACTAAAGAATTATTAACCCCAGACAATTTTTGGATTACTGGTATCACACAAGAGCCATCTACTGGAGAATATTACTTAGTGTTGTACCGTGAGGTACATACAATAATGGACAGATTTGTGCGCATTCATGAAGACATAAAGTTTATGCAGTATGGTGACTTTGATGAAATTAAACCGATTGGATCTAGTGGTTATGGAATAGTTTACACAGCCAGACACAAATACAACATAAATGAACATCCAATTAATGTACAAGGACACGTTATTCTCAAACGATTCAATAATTTTGATCAGATGCCAGAACTGTTCATTTGTGAGGTAAGCAGTGTCAGGTATGATGCCAATATAAATATCTCACTATATAATTAACATGTTATTTTTAAATTTAATAGCTTAAGAATTATGCCAAATGTAATAGCAGTCATTTTCTTAAAATTTATGGAGTTACACAAGACCCAAAAACAACAGAGTACATGATTGTTATGCAATATGCTAACAATGGCAGTATTTTGTCTTATTTGGATCAAAATATCAACAAATTGACATGGAGGATGAAGTTACAGTGTTTAAGGAGTATTGCATACTGCTTGCATGACATTCATTCATTAGGTTTGATACATAGTAATCTTCATGCTAGAAACGTTATTTGTGATTGCAATGTGGAAGATATACCATACTTAAGTTCAACTAATCAAGGTGAATTTACTAAGAAATCAGATATATATGAATTTGGCATGATTATGTATATGATGGCTACTGGTGAATCACATATTTTGGATGGACGACAGCCAATGATGCCTGATTCAGCACCAGAGGCTTATAAAAAACTTGCGCAGATGTGTTGTGATGCTGACCCTGACAAGCGCCCAGAGTGGAATCTTGGTTCACTTCTCAGTGATCTTATTGAAGAGGCAGACAGGAATAAGTCTGATAACAATGTATGGAATACCATTTATTATAATAAGGAAGACTCTCATCACGTCTCGAATACTAGATTTGTCTATGCTGAACCAGGAGGCAGTTAGGAAGCTCATGAATTTATGTTCATGTTAGGATAATTTCTTTTTATACAATAACTCCGAACTTTGAATGCTGTTATATATTAACGTTAACGTTGGCAACTTTACATATTCCTGTAACTGTGTATCATAAGTTCATACGCAAACCTTGGTTCAGCGCATTTCCGTAAAAGTGGAGAAAGTAAAAAAAAATTTTCGGAACATTCACTTTGTGCTCTGACGCCGCAGCGCAATAGATTATCCAGTTAAAACTAATAAGACGTTCGCAAATGTATATCCCCTAGTCATATTAATATGAGTTTTTTCTCAAAAGCGCGCTCCTGATTTTACAAATATGTCAGCGCAAAGTAACAACATTTAGAACTGTTTAGTTTTACGTCCCGGAACTTTTTTTTTTTTTTTTTGAGCAATTGATACTTGAAAAAAATTATAACAATGTATCCACCAATGTACATTTGTATTTAGTGAGCAATAAATTAAAAAGATGGCGGTTAAGGTGATACTCTACTTGGACAAATAAATTTGTTAGCAGATTTAGATTTTTTTTTGTTTACTTTGTTTGTTTTTTCTTTGAATAATTCTAATCAACGTTTTACTAATTCAATAATAATCCATGTTGTTTTTGGTAGATTAGAGATATAGTCAAATGTTTACGATGATGAAGGTTATTAATGCTAATTATAACAACGTTCTTAATTTGCAAACACAATGGGAATTAATTTACTTTTTTGATATTGAAATTTATCATAACAATTGATACAATAAGCAATAACAGACAGATTGCAACTGTAAACATGAAGATACTTTACAGAAACCTGCAGTTTTTATAAATCTCTCCAACACAACGTTCTGCAAATCTCATCGAGACATTTTTAAAAAATGCAAGTTTCTGTAAAGTAGTAATAAGTAAATAATGTATTACTAATAATCGACCAACTAGATATTAAACTATGAAAAGTTTTTGTATTAGGTTTCAGCTTACTAAATAGAATGGTTGGTGTTATGCAGTTTTTAGTCAATAATGAAAAATATACAGGAGAAGTAGAGCTTTCAAAAAATACAAATTTTATTAGTGAAATTCTAAAATAAACATAAAAGTTTTTAATGAAACCAAAGTTTTGGATTCAAACTTTTGTCCATCGAGTGTATGTATGATAATGTTATTTTATATTAAAATATGTGGTAATTTATAAAAAGTTATATGTTTCTTAATGCAGAAATCGGCAACTGCATAGATTTTATGTATCCCTATATAAATGGTCAGGGCGATCCCAAACTTTTAACTCCTTTAATGTAAAAAGACTCCATCACTAAATCCTTTTGTTTGCTCATATTTGTTTGTATTCTCAACAATCATTTGTAGCTGATTATCAGTAAAAATAACTGAAAAATTGCAAAGGAGTAACTAATAGCATTTCATGGGGAATTGTTGCATAGCCTTTATAAGCTGGTTGACGTTTTTGCATTGGTTCAAATACTGGAAGTGGTAGACTTGCAGTTTGTTGCAATATAACGCTTTTTTTTTCCCATGTATTCCTCATTCTCCCCTTCCTCTTTATTACTAACGCCACCTTTCTTCCTTACAGCTATTTCTTCTGAATCAGTTTGAATAACATGTATTTCTTGTTCACTTTCACCTCTCATGTCTTCGTCTGCAAAAGTATCTGTAGCGTACATATTTTCGATCATTTCCGCTAACATATTATCGATAAAGACCTCACCGTGATTAGTAGTTCCAACACCTTTATCATCATTTTTTTGACTACAAATTAAAATCGCTAAATCTTTCTTTTGCTATTTGGAGAAAGAGCTCTGAGGAACTTCACTTCATACATAGAGAGAGAGAGAGAGAGCAAAAAGCTGCGCTCAAATGAGACGGCCGGCGTAGTTGGAATCTGATAAAGAAATTTTAAAGCTAATACTAGAGCTAGAGCTAGGGTTAACGCGGATAGACATTTTGAATAAACCCGGTTTAATAATATGGCAAACAGAAGTGAGTATGCAACGAACAAGTGGGAAATCTAGATGATATCTCTGATACGCGATTATTATTAGGTTTTGTCGATTCAGAAAAACCCTCTCTTTTGGGCTTATATTTTTGCATACTGATGGAAATTTGTCAAAAATCACGATTTTGCAGGCAAATTTGCTTGCAAAACAGTTTAAGGGATACACTGAATTTATGAATTGGTCAATAAGAAGCAAAAACCTCGGAAAACCGATAGAAACATCATATGAGAAATATTATTGGCTATCTTCATATCGTAACGTGATTGGATATCATTTGGATATGACTACAACAAACGTGGAAAGCGTATAGATTCTACGAAGATTCGCAACTATAGAAATAGCGTCTGCTGATGAGTGCTTGTCATTTGTAGACAAGGAATCCTTTCACCTCGAAGTAAAGTTTCTTGTTACCCACATATAGGTATCCATATCTACGAGAGAACGTTCATGCAATCTTATCCCCTTCTTCCATGTAATTCCACAATATTCGATGAGCGCCCGGCCACAGTGTTGGAATCGATACTCGCTTCCATTTCCACAACCAATTCAGTCTACTCTTTCCTCTACCAGTTTCTTCAGATTATTAGGGATGTAATGTGCAACGGTGGCATCTTTTCATAGATATTCATTAATAAACATAAACACGTAACAGTGCTAACAGAAAATATAGTCAATAGAATCTTACGTTATCTTTTCCTTTCTACCCACACGTTCGCTCAATCGCATTTGATCCTGCAAACAATAAAATCAGCCCGCATGCGCATTGTTCGGATTCGCAACAACAACTTAACACTCTGATATCGATCAGATGCGAATTCCGTTTATAAATTTCAAATCAACCGATTGTTATTTTATTGCGGAACAGCCATTACCTCCATTTTTATCTTCCTTATCTGACACATTAACATATTACAGTGGCATCTCTATAAAAGCGCAATCCTCCCTTAAATGTAATACTTTGCTCGGTCCCAAGCATGGGACTTGGTGTCTGCAATTCAACGAATTTGCGAGTCCCGTTCTAATTTCTCTAAGTGCAACTCACGTGATTCAAGTAAGCTATTTGTTTCAAATACCAATACAATATCAATTTCAAACATCACAATTCGCGCGCACAACAGTTTTACGTGTGAAGAAAGAATTCTTTGTGAAGCATTGCTATTTTCTTTTTTCAGTGCTTGGGTTTGATCTGTTATCGAGTATGTGTTAAGTTTTTATGGAAAATAAGGAACAATCCAACAAATCTGCTAAAAGACCTTCATGTCCCTGTCTTTGAACAATTTCTTACGACCGGGAGTCCTAAAGTCTTGCATATTAATATGCTTGAATAGCTCGTATAAAGAAATTTACTAATTCGCCGTTTACTATATCTTGTCTTGATACAAGTAAACTATTCTCCACTTCAAGTCTTCGCTAAATAAACACCCATCCTAAAAACAACATTTATACAAGAACACAATCTCAGAATCACTTGAAGTTGAATTGTAATCACCTGTAATCAGTTCGTAATCGCCTTGTAATCTCGGGTTTCACATTCACAAATTTGTAACTTGACACACTGGTCTCTACATGTAAAAGACTTCGAAATAATGTTAGTAATCTCAAAGTCAGTGGACGGTTTATTAGACGTTCAACTAAAAGTCCTTGTTTTATTGAGTAAGATAATGTTCTTTTATATTTACATATTCCCGCGACGATATCTGTATATAACTATGACGATATACGATATAAAAATATATATATATTTATGACTACATAATAGCTAAATAATGATGCAATAAAAGCGTAAACATATTACGACATAGATAATACACTAAATAGTATCGTCTTCACTATTATTCAATGATTACGATATTGCAATATCGTAATCGTAACAATGCAAATTGTTACATTCTCCCCTCCTTAAGATTTGACGTCCTCGTTAATTCGAATTCTGTATGTTGCGTCGTGCAACGGATATCCGGTCCATTTAACTAGATATTGTGTATAAATTCTTTTATCTAATATTGCTTCCACTTCATATTCCGTTGACAGGTGTCACATGTCTGCACATATTTTCGAGTGTCATTTCCATTTTTGGCCAGTAGAAATTACGCATAATGGCTTCTGCGGTTTTTATCAATTCCCAAATGTCCCGAGATATTTGTATCATGATGTTCATGTAATATGTGCATTTGAATTTACTTATTTGATGGTGCCGCCATTCGTTGCGTACCTTTGAGGTATAGCCGTTTTCTTGTATTTCAAAATGCTTAGTATGAGTATTTGAGAGGTTAGATTGTGTCTTGATATATGTGAGAGAGGCATGATCCGTTATGACAGTAAACTGTTGTCCTTCTAGATACGTGCACCATAATCTTATAACATGAAGAATAGCTAATAATCCTTTTTCATGGGTGGTGTAATTCTGTTCAGCTGCTGATAACTTTCTTGACTCATAAGTGACAGATTGTTTACCTTTTTCATGATCTTGAGTTAACACTGCTCCAATAGCAAAATCGAAGGCATCTGTAGCGAGAGTGAAAGGTTTTGTTGGATCAGGTATTAATAGTACAGGAGTAGTGGATAATTTTCTTTTCAGTGTGTCGAATGCTTTGTGTATAATAGATGTCCAGCCAAATGGTTGGCCTTTATGAAGGAGTGCAGTTAATGGTGGTGCAATCGCTGAAAAACCTGATATGAATTTTCGATAATAACTGGCAAGCTCCAGAAATGATCTTATTCCAGATGTATTGGTAGGTGTAGACCAATTTCTGATCACATTAACTTTTCTTGGGTTGATTGTAATACTTTCTTCAGATATGGATTGTTCAATATATTCTACCTTCTTACAAAATAATTCGCATAGCATATATAGTTGATGCTTTCGAATGTTCATAAGTGTCATGAAGATTGCGGGAGCATTAGTGAGACCGCAAGGTAAAACAAGAAGCTCATAGTGACCGTATCTTGTACGAAAAGCAGTTTTTGGAATGTCTTCTTGTTTTATTCGGATTTGTTGATAGCCAGAGTATGAGTCGATCTTACTGAAGTATTTACTTCCAACTAAGTGATCCACAAGTTCCTCATTGCGTGGTAAGGGGTATTGATTCTTAATAGTTACTTTGTTCAATGCTCTATGGTCTGCACAAGGATGTAATGTTCCGTTTTTCTTGTGTACAAATAACACAGGTGTGCCAAAGGGCAACATACTCGGTCTGATAAATCCTTTAGTCAGGAGGTCAGTGAGTTGTTTCTTTAACTCATTCATCTCGACATAAGAGAGTTTATACGTGGGTTTAGATGGCGGTTCTACTCCAGGGGTTAATTCAATAGCATGATCGATGCTTCGACTGGGTGGCAACTTGTCTGGTAATTCGTTCGGGAATACATCAGCAAATTCAGTATATATGGCTTTTTCTTCGGAACTTGACTTTATATCTTCTTTTTGTAATGACTCAGTGGTACAGACGGCAAATAAGGCTTCGGTATTTGACGTTTGTGTTAATTGCTGTCGAGAAGTAAATACAGGCGAACACTCAGAGCTAACGAATGCATTTTGTGAAGCTGCTTTGACATGGATTACACATGATCCATATTGGAAGGTGAGGGTATTGCTTCTCCAATTG